TCAACATAAGGTGAGTGTCTGACTGTACAGGATTTATTGTTGCAAAACACTCCAAACAATGAAAACTGTGCAGACAAAAGAAATGTTTAGAACGTGGACTGCAACTCTGCACCAAAGTTATTGATTGTATGAAACGGGTAAACGCAAACTCCCTGATCCTGCAATGGGCCGGTCTTAATCTCCCCTCTGCTATCTCCATCCCAGATGTTCAATCAGGTAGCGTTTCGGGCAAAGAGCGCCCGTGAGCTGACGGATGCCGTGGCCAACTTCATGGACTGCAGCATCGTCATCCCGCCCACAGAGATCCAGAATGAAGAGATGCTCAGCTCCATTATCAACTTTCAGAAGAAACTACTGCAGGACAGGTTCCAGTCCTCTGAGCCCACCATCCGCCCGGACTCCAAACCTCGAAGGGGTGAGTGCTGTTAACACACACTCAAAACTACAGTGTAGAGTGGTAGTAGTATGAAGCCTTGGTGTTATACAACACACATAAACAAAATGGAAATTGTTTCCCCCCTAGTTTCCATCTCTTCTGGTGCCTCATCTGAAGACCCCCTGTCCCGTACTGGTCGCCCATTTGGTGGGATGATGCGAGACATAAAGAGGCGCTACCAGTACTACAAGAGTGACATCACAGATGCTCTTAACACCCAGGTCCTTGCTGCCATCATATTCATCTACTTTGCCGCTCTGTCTCCCGCCATCACCTTCGGAGGACTGCTGGGTATGTGTGCATATTTGTTGAGACGTGGTGTTGCTGTTACATGCTATGATAATACTTTGCCCTCACCTTTGCCACTACAGCTGATAAGGTGGACAACATGATGGGCGTTTCAGAGCTCCTCATCTCCACCAGCATTCAGGGGATCATCTTCTGTTTCATCGCTGCTCAGCCCGTCCTGGTCATCGGTTTCTCTGGTCCTCTGTTAGTATTTGAGGAGGCCTTCTTCGCTGTAAGTTATAGCACTGATTCATTGAGGTGAACTGTCTCTTCTCATCTATATGATGCCACTGAAGTTCATTCTTATGACAGATTTTTAATATATTCTACATTTCTGAATACCACAACCCATTATTTCTTGAATTCATTTGCTTGGTCAGAGTTCAACTTATCCCCAGTTTCCTTCATTCAGTTCTGCAAGTCCCAGGACATTGAGTATATTGTGGCCAGAGTGTGGGTCGGAGTGTGGCTGGTCATCATTGTGGCGATCGTTGTGGCCTTTGAGGGCAGCTTCCTGGTGCGTTTCATCTCCCGCTTCACCCAGGAAATCTTCTCCATCCTCATTTCCCTCATCTTCATTTATGAAACCTTTGCCAAGCTAGGGAGGGTAAACCATCTTCATCCATTTCACACATTTCATCTGTCCAAATGAAATCTGACACATTTCACTTCTGTGAACAGAGTGCTGTCTCTCAAGGCCAGATTATAATCTTTCTACATCTACTCTCTGACCTCTCTTTAGACCTTTATGGCTCATCCGCTGATTCTGAATTACGATCATGTGAATGCAACTCTAGAAAATCCCTGGCATCCAAAAGTGGAAGAGGTGGTCATGTATGACAACAATACCGGCAACACGTCTGTTATTGTCAACACCATTAAGCATGCTTACCCCAACACAGCCCTGCTCTCCATGTGCCTCATGTTAGGCTGCTTCTTCATCGCTTTCTTTCTGCGCCAGTTCAAGAACGGCACTTTTCTTCCTGGAAAGGTGAGTTGTGTCCACAGGCCATTACCAGCTTGTTTCTGTTTATTTCTGTCATCAGCTGTTTAATTAAATTCTTAAATCTTTAAAAGTTGATCTGATCTGTGCTTATCAGGTCAGACGTTTGCTTGGTGACTTTGGTGTGCCTATTGCCATTTTTCTCATGATTGTCGTGGACTACACCATTGATGATACCTACACTCAGGTAGGCCCATATGAACAGGTTTTGCTTGCTGTAACAATTCCTTCTGTTTATACTACTGGCCATTAAAAGTTGCCTACCTAATGTGCTTTCAGTGTAAGTCATGCGGGACAACGTCCACAGTCCTCTTTCTGTGCAAAGACACATTCAAAAGTTTATCTGAAGCTAATATTTATATCCAAATTAATCAAATCAAGTGAATATCGGACAAAATTACAGAATTTTTGGTAAATAAATTTTTTTTTTATTTAGTTACTGTCAGTCCACTGCAGCCCAACCAGAAAACAGGGCATTTTAGTCTATCAACATTGTAACTGTGGAAGATATTGACTTGATTTGATTAACTCAGACTGCTTAGGCCTCATATTATCTCAAGCTACACTGGATTCCCCCCCCCCCCATCACGTCCTTTGATAATGGCCAGTATGCACATATGCGCAATATTGTTTTAAGACAGAGAAAAATTGTGAATCCATCCTTTAACACGTGTTAAAAACTGGTTGCTTTCTTTACAGAAACTAGTGGTTCCCAAAGGTCTGGTGGTGTCCAATCCATCCAAAAGAGGCTGGCTCATCAACCCCTTCGGAGATCACAAGGCGTTCCCCGTGTGGGTGATGTTCGCATGCTGTGTGCCGGCCCTGCTCGTCTTCATTCTGATCTTTCTGGAGTCTCAGATCACAACGTGAGTCATTACATCTCAACAACAATGTCACTCACTGAAGTATCAACCTCAGAATGTTTTAAACCAAACTTGATTACTATGTTACATCTGTCAACAGTCTGATTGTGAGTAAGCCTGAGAGGAAGATGGTCAAAGGCTCAGGGTTCCACTTTGACTTGCTGGTTTTAGTCGGCATGGGAGGTCTCAGTGCAATATTTGGTGTGCCGTGGCTCAGTGCTGCCACGGTGCGATCTGTTACCCACGCCAATGCTCTCACTGTCATGGGCAAAGGACCAAAACCTATAATTGAGAAGGTGATGGAGCAGAGGGTCAGTGGCATTCTGGTGGCGTTGCTGATTGGTAGGTGCTGTCTAATCATCCATGTATCTTTTCTAAGAATATACAGGCCTGTCATTTAAACACTGTACACTTTGCTTTATCTGAATGTCATTTTGTGTCAAGGTCTGTCAATTCTGATGGAGCCGATTCTAAAGTTGATTCCCATATCGGCCTTGTTTGGTATCTTTCTCTACATGGGAGTTACGTCACTCAATGGCATCCAGATGTGGGATCGTATGCTGCTTCTGCTCATCCCTAAAAAATACCACCCTAATGAACCCTACGCCACCAGAGTAAGAGTCCCATGACTGCATAATAACTAAAGTGCATGGACTGTTGCACTTCAGATTAAGCACACCATATACTGTATACCAGCATTTGTGTTCAGAGTAATGTGCTTGAGAATGACAGCATTGATATGAACTCATATCATTTGATGGTACATGTGTTGGCCACCATTAGAGCCTCTAAATCACATCACAAGGCATAAAGCATGTGCAATCATGTCCATCTGATTAATATTTTTGACATATTGGCTACAGGTGAGCACAGGACGAATGCACTTGTTCACGGCCATCCAGATAGTGTGCCTTGCAGTTTTGTGGATTGTTAAATCCAGCCCAGTATCCCTCGCACTTCCCTTCATACTCATCCTCACCATTCCTCTACGCATGTTTATGACTGGGCATTTCTTCACTGAACTGGAAATGAAATGTGTAAGTGGATACCGCCTGTCATTTGAATAAATCAATGGAGATTGAAGCAGTATTAAGCATCCATTTTTCTGTGTTGTTTGTGTTTTAGTTGGATGCTGAAGACGCCAAAGTGACATTCGAGGAGGAGCCGGGGCAAGATGTATACTGTGAATCTCAGATGCCATTGTAGATGTCTTCCATGACAGCTATCATGCCAGAAATACTTTTATTTTCACAAATAGATGTTTATTTTACATATGGCTCAAATGAATGTTTCATCCACCTATAAGCACAATCATGTTTTGAGTTGTTTCATGAAAAATTACTTCATAGTGTCAATATGGATGAAGATTAATATTAATAATGGTCTTGGTCAAACATTCCTGAAGAGTTTTTCAACAGTCACTCAGGTAAAAAAGCTGGAAATATTCATATAAATTGACATTTTTTTACAAAGAAAGAAAGACATGAACATTTTAAAGAGGCACTCATACACAATGGACAGATTGGATGCTTGACGGAAAATATTGTAGCGTTATTGTAGCCAAAGATTTTAGTTTTTCAAAGCAATCGCACATTGAATGTAATGTTGTTACACGTGCCACTTTAGTTATTGTTGTACTCGCTTGATGCGAGTAAAATCTTAACTCTGAATAAAGTAATTCATAATTTACAAGGCAAGATGCCAACAAAGTGTAGATATTTTATCAAGAATGTTAAAACTGGTAACACTGACAAGAACACCACTGCTACTCAATTCATGGAGAGGGAAATCTTGTGTGTTGTTAAGTTTATAATGTGTGTAATGTTACTCTTCTTGTCATCTCTCAAATAATAAAACAATGACCTCCCCAAGAGCCATCAACTTAGTCATTGGGTGCTGTTTGTTTTTAATTGGCTTTAAGGAAAGCCAGGACCAATCAAATGTTCTGCCGATCTTATTTATAACTTTTTCTGTAATATTTTTATCATTGATTACTTCTCACTTTGGCAATTAATGAACAATAAGAATGGGACACCAGAGAAAACACATGTATTGCATGTTCATATGTTCATGAGCTTTGTTATTCAGAGATATTTCAAGCTAACCTTAGAAAGTCAAGGCAATAATGAAGGTTAAAAAGTGATTTGATAAACCAAAGTAAATATAGTATTTAATATAATATAATATATATTTTTTAATTATCTGTCTTATCATTATTCAGATGATTTAGTGCCATGATTCAACACTCTCCAGGTCAGTAGGGGGCGCTTTGTAACCGTAACGCTGATCATAAATCAACATCCGCCAATAAACACGAAGAAGAAGAAGAAGCTTACGTTCATTGGCTGGCTTTTGGGTGACGCTCGTTTCTGATTGGTTGCTCTTCAAGAAGGACCCGCCTACCAAACATGGAGGATAATAAACCCATGTGATGAATGTGTTTCTCTGCAGCTCCATGTGGTGTTTTTGTCCCGATGAAGAACTTAACGCGAATATATATTTAGGTTAAATATCGCTAGATTTTAGTTAATTTGTTAATGTACTTAAGCATCTTGATATTTTTCGATAACCAGCTAATGTACAGTTAGCGGGAGTCACGTGGATTGACCAGACGTTCTGCCCAGTTTGCATCCAGTTAACAGTAACAGAAAGACTTCCAGTGGAAACACGTTGTATGGACACAATGGGTGAAAGCGAGACTGAAGAATCTGGTGGGTATACCTAAATACATCTTTCTTTTATAATGACTTGTATAACACTATATAAATTACTAAAAAAAACGTTCCTGTGTTTTTGTTCCTGTGCTGTAACTACAGAGTGGACCAAGGAAAACCTCCAGAAGCTTCTTGCTGTGATGAAAACCAGCATCCCAGAAAATGACAGAAAGCAGGCATATACCAGCGGACTGAAAACCATGGACTGGAACAAGGTGGCTTTCCCCCCTTTCTCTCCTGAAGCATGCAAAGAAAAGTGGGGACAGATTTTGCAGAAAGTGAGTCACACAGTTTAACTCTTAACTTACAGTAGACAAAAACAATTTCACCGCTTTCAATCATAATCAACAAACTTAAGCAGAACTAGTTGCCCAGTAAGTTTAAGTCAGTCTCATTAGTGTTCGGTGTGATATTTCTGTTGTTCTTGCTCAGATGGTTAAGACTCGGACCCTCACAGAGCTCCTCGTTGAAGCTGAAGGTGTCATTTCAAATCCTGGCAAGAACATGATGGTAAGCACAGCACAATCCAGCTTTAGAAAGCTTAATGTTGTGAATACAAAGCTGCTTTGTGCAGGTATTCATTTTAAATAGGTAATTGCTTCTATAATACAAACCTCCTGCAAAACTGTAATGACTCATAAAGAGAGAAATCTGGATGTATTGCTGAAAGGTTGCCAACACGAGTTTGTCCAATAATACCACATGCTTTATTCTTTGATTAATCAAACCTCAGATCCATCCAGAGCGCCCAAAGAGACCTGCCCCTCCAAATGCCATCTTTTTAGAGGAAAATAGGGCCAAGTATCTCAAGAAGCACCCCAATATGAGCCGCCAAAAGGTATTCAAGAACCTAGTCAAGAAGTACCAGAAGCTCCCAGATGAAGAGAAGGTACACTCAGTGAAAGGCTACCACTAAAACAACACATCATTTATTGTTGCCATAGGAATAAACTTTGTAATGATCATCAACAACTGACATTTTCCAGGCTCAATATATGGAGAAATTTCAGCTTGCAACTGAGGAATACAAACGAAGGATGGAGATGTTCAGGTAGTAGATTAACACACATACCGTCCCATATGAAGACGTGATTTGGCCCAGAATGCCAGTTTAAAATCCGGTGTCAAAACTAATTCTTTGTCTTTCAGTAAACAATATACAACAAGTCCCAAGTACAAGACCAAGCGGAAGAGGCTCTCTGCAAACATCAAAGCTGTAAGGGCTCGACCTCCCATCTTAAAGAAGGTTACGAAAGAAACAGAAGGCATGCCTCTCCAGCCTCCTTTGTAAGCCACACACACTCCACATTAGGGCTGCACAATTAATCGAATTTTAATCGCGATCACGATTTTGGCTGCCACGATTAAATGAGCATGATCGTCAACGATATTGACGTTTAAAATGCGTGCTCTGCTACATATCACATCAAGCGCTTCCTCAACTAACAGTCAGTCGACCACCAGGGGGAGAACGAGATGGGAGGTGTCATGCGCGCACCCTGCAGACTCCGCTATTAGTAGAAGAGTAGAGAGACAGACAACAGAACGGAGAGCAGACGGTCACGGGTGTCGTGTGAAAGCTAAATCAAATGTCAGGAGCAGAAGGCGAGGAGCTAGCCCCTCCAAAAGGATCATCATCCGTTGTCTGGAAGTTTTTTGGATTTAGGCCAAGTGATGTTAACCAAGACCAAACATATGCACAGAGTACGTTAGAGTTGTGTCTGCGCCGCATAGCAATACAACTAACTTGTTCAGCCACCTGAAAAATCACCACAAACCACAGTACGACGAATGCATTAAGCCCAAAGCTAACGTTACCTCACTGAATCTCCATCCATGTCCAACGTCAACCCAGAAACCCATAACAGCGACCCTGCATAGCGCGACAGCGTATCCATCCACCTCCCAATGACACACTGAAATAACGGATGCAATCACATTTCATTTGGCCAAAGACATGTGTCCAATAAATACTGTGAGCAACACACATATTTATTTTTAGTTAGCCCTTTATTTTGGGTAAAAATGTTATTTATATTTTGCTTCAGGTGAATAAGAACCGTATAGGTTTTATTTTGATGTAAAGACGTGTACATTAGCTGGAATGTAGCACAACATGGAAGTGAAAGCAGTGCTCTGTTGATTTAATTTTGGGTAAAAAGTGTTGATACTATTTTATTTATATTTTCCTTCGAGATGCACTGGCTAATTTGTACATTAGCCAGAATGTAGCACAACAATGGAAGTGGAAGCAGTGTTCTTGTTCATTTAAACGTGAAAGTGCAATAAAAAGATGTTGTCCCTAAAATGAATGAATAATCGTGATAAATAATCGTGATCGCAATATTGATCAAAATAATTGCGATTATGATTTTGGCCATAATCGTGCAGCCCTACTCCACATTGACACTTGTTTTGCTTTGTTGTATGTTCATAAATCAGCAGCTTGCACCTCTCACTGATTTTATCATATTTACTCTTCTTTTTTTTTTGTACACGAAAAACTGCCCGACTATGGCTCAGGACACAGAGCGCTTCATCCTTTAATCCTAAGGTTGTCGGTATTATTTCTGGTTCCTCATGACTGCATCTAGAAGTGCTCTTGAGCTGAACCTCAAGTTGCTCCCGATGGGCAGGCCGGCGCATTGAGTGGCAGCTCTACCAGCATCAGTGTATGAAACATAGGGATTGAGCGTGTGGTATACTCAATAGTTCTTGCCGGTCATTAAGTTTGAAGAAGTCCATTGGAGAACCAGCCATACCTATTTTACTTTGCGTAAAGTGTCTTATCTTATGGTAAATTAACACAAAACCAACTAATGCTAACAAGCAGTTAACTCACTAGTAACTGACCAACTGTTTGTGTGTTTGTGTGTTTGTGTGTGTGTGTGTGTGTGTGTGTGTGTGTGTGTGTGTGTGTGTGTGTGTGTGTGTGTGTGTGTGTGTGTATTTTTAGAAGTGGATATAGACTATACTGCAAAGAGCAGCGTACTTCCAAGAAGGGTTTGGAAGGAAATAATTGCGTATCTATGTGGGCACAAGGTTGGCGAGATATGACTGAGGAACAGAGGATCACGTTCAACACGCGCAGTGCAGAGGTAGGAAGTCAAGCTTTTGAGACGGCAACAATACATGTTTGGTTATAGTAAAAGTCTAAATGTGAAAGAATCTAAATGAAACACTTTCCCTCTTTCAGTTGAAGAGACAATACACTGTCGAGCTGAATGAATATCTCATGGTAAGTCATTTAGAAAACTACAGTTGCAGCATTGAGCTGATGCCGTCACACAGTGTGTAACAATAGTGTTCATGTTCCTCAGAATTTTGACAAGGAGAAGCAGCAGCAGATCCTAAAGGAGAGCGGCGTCAAAAGACCTAAAGATTCTCCGGTGAGAAGTATTTTCATGGTTCCTGCACAAATCTGGTAGTTAGTCCTAAGAAGGAATGTTCCGTACTTGCAGACGTGCTGTCACTTCTGTTAACAAAGTAGAGAGAGAGGCTGTTTTAACTCTTGGTTGACTAATTTGCCAACAGATTTTGGTGGCTTTTCGTTGATTTAATTGAAAATTTGTTTGCTTTTCCATTTGTTAATTGTTTATTGTTCAGTTGTTTATCTCTTTCATTCTACCTCATACAAAGAACAGCTTATACTCAAGAGGGGATCGATTGTTGAGTTGTGCTCTCTTCACTTCAATAAAATAACTTTGGATTGCAGGGCATTAAGAGAAAAGAGAAAATTCCTGGGGAGCCCAAAATGCCATTTCAGTGAGCATGATCGTCATACATTTGTACCCTTAAGATACACAGCATTTATTCAAACAAATCAAACTCTCGGTTGTCTACCTGCAGACCAACTTGTGACTGAACATTTCTTTACTCACAGATCTGGTAGCGGAATTTTCTGCAAAAGGCAGATGTCACTTCTGAAGGAGAAAATCCCAAACTCAAGGGATCGCTTCACCGTGGTCAACAAAATGTGGCAGGATCTCCCGACAGTGCACAAGCAATGCCACAAAAAGGAAGTACTTGAAGAGAATAGAAAATACTCCATGAAGCTTCAGAAGTGGTTTGAGGTATGAAGAATCCTCTCTTTCTAATGATTTTTATTCTAACAAGGTTTTTATTTACTCTAAAGTGAGAGGTCCTTTAAAATGCGTCACCTTTTACATTCTTCAGACGTTGCCGGCAGCAAAGCAGCAATTTTATCGGACACATAACCCCAGTGTAAGCACCTACACAATTGCAAGTACTCTTTTGTTTCTTTCTTTAAAAGCCTTTCTTTAACTTTTGATAATATGCTTATCTTTGCAGAAAATCAAATACCTCGATGTCAGCCAAATGGAGGTTTATCACATAGAAGAACCACGTGATGCTGTCTACATACCATCAGTAAGTTGAATTGTTGGTACATGCAAAGTAATATGTTCTTCTTAACTGCCCTTTCATGATGTGACCAATGCAAAGCTCTCTGTAGGCCGTCGTATAGTGACGTTTAGAGTAAATATACTTTTTATCTGAAATTATTCATAAGGTTTACTTATGATTTTTAAATACATTCACTATATGTATGCTGAATAGTATGTGGTCAACAGTACAAGGTAAGGAACTTCGTAGTTTTAGGTCAACTATCTAATTTATGTCAAAAAGGAATAATAATTGGGAATGAAATGACATAATATCTAGAATGAAGAGAACACGGGTTTAAAAAGCTTTATTTTCAGTCCACATTTCTTTTACACCATGCAGGATTCAGAAGATGAAGACACTACAGACAGCAGTGAGGAAGAAGAGAACAATGCTGAGTGTGACGAGGTTAGTAACACTACAACGTGTTTTTGTGATTTTCGTATTTCATTTTGCAACAGATGTTGTAAATATCCCCTGTTGATCTACAGGTTGAGGAGGAAGAAGACAACGATGCCATCGTTTTTGATTGGCATTAATATGGTGATGAGATGGACAGCAGATCATCACACACACACACGCATGTCAAGTTCAGAGCAGAATTCTGGATTTGACTCAATAGTCTGGTCACTCCAGTGTCTGACTTTAATGTCACATTGTGTGGTGGCCATGTTGGCTGGAAGGTTGCCGCCAGTGCCCGAGGGCCACAGACCCCCAGGGGCCACACATGACATTGCTGTGATATGATTTATTGTAATACTGTTACTATTTGGGAAAGTGCACCACTAAAGTATCAACTGATATGATGAGGGCCTTAAAGTATTTCTAACATTAATTATTCCTAACTTGATAAGCGATAACCAATGTGTAAGTTGGGGGGGGGGGGGTACCTTTTATATATTATTATAATGTAACAGTCAAATTACTTTTAAAAATCTGCTTCAAAATATAAATTTAGAGCTTTGGCAGAAAAATTACGTGTTTATGTAGGACCCTATAATGAGAAGCTTGAGAAATGCATGTATTGGTTCTTTAAAGGTGCATCCTGCTTTATTACCAAACTTTGAGGACATGAGAATGTTTTAAGACCAGCGATGTTTTGTCCTATGTTGTGCTTACATGTTCAAAGTAACACACAATAACATCTGGCTCTATTTGATAATCTGCCGTTGGAACACAGTGCACACAGATTGAGGGAGTTAAATGGTGTTTCACAGAGGAACTCAATTTTGCTCAAGGGCCCCCAGATCGATTAATCCAACCCTTACCACGACATAATACATCTGAGGTACCATAAACATCAGACACTTTATTCCAACATTACTCAGCCAATTTGTCTTCTACTTTTAACAATGACAACATGCATGTCTGAAAAGATTTCAGAGAGAAAGCATGACCAGGGAAAATGTACAGTCAGGTCTTAATGGGTTTACGGGGTTACCAAGGGTTTTAATTGTGTAGATGAACAGGAATATACTTTATCAAGCATTGTTTTCTTTTCTTTTTTATTATTGGTGAAAAACCTTGCATTTGTTCGTAAATCATGTTTAAAAAAATCCAATAAACATGTTACATAAAGATTCGTCTTGGATTGTCTGATGTAGTGAAGTAACAATGCACAAACCAGATCAGTTTTTTTTTTTAAATACCATGTTTTTTTTATGACTACTACAAAGCCGAACAAAGGGCCAATTTAACGCCTAAATTGCACGGGGTAACTCGCAGTCACATGCTGGCCAGCATGATAAATGCATTCACATTGGAGTCAACAGGGGGGAAACCCGGGCAGTGCTGCAAAGGAAGCGCTTGGTGGAAACTGGAAACTCGTGTAGCGATCGATTGCTACTGTCTGATCTCTGTGATGTAAAGATGGATGCCTGCCGAAATAGGTAAATAAACACAATTAGCAAAATATCGTGGCCGTGAGTGCGGTATTCCTCGTAGATCCAATTTAAATTGGGGTTTACAAACGTCGTTTTGAATCATTCGGGGAGTTGAAAGGCGAACAGCCGCAGTGCAGCAGCGGTGCTGGGTTCGGGGACGAGCCTCGCTGTGTGGTCAAATGTAATTCTTCAACAGCAAAACCATTCAGCCACTTACAAATGTGTTACATTGTTTCTATTTACTCCGCCTAGTTTGATACATTTGACACGTTTAGCTCGTAGCTGTAGCTGCGGTTGACCTGGGGGATACCGCCTCTTGTAACGTTAACCTCTTGGCACGTTCAATTCCTCCAGCCTATTCATAGCCACGCTCTTTGTTTTCCTCAGCAAGGTTTTGGCTAAGCTATGCCTTCATTTACCCTTAATGCTCGGACCAGCGAGGTGTTGCGTTTGATAACTCGGCTAACGGCACGTCTCTGTGGTTATTGAGATGTTGCAGTGCTACCACACCAACGCTGTTATTCTGTTTTGTGTTATTCGCAGGCTATAAACGTGGGAAGTAAGTCCCTGTGTGTGTGTGTGTGTGTGTGTGTTCAACGTGCAAGTTGTAAGTAGCTGCATCACATCACCAGGGCGTCAAACGTTGACCATTCACAGGCTGTAATGCCGCCGTGCTGCTAAACGTGTGTTTCCCTCCTGCTGCAGCCCTGTTCTGGCCAATGCTTGCTGCACTACAGCATGACCACAGCAGCGTCGGCTCATCTGGTAGTTCTGGCAAATGAAAATGGAGGAGGTTTCAATGTCCAGCCTGGACAACAGCAAGCTGGAGGTACAGTCGAGCAAGGCCACACAGTAGTCCAAGCAGCCTTGGAAATGCACATTACATCTGCAGACACAGTCTGACTTGTGTCTCTGTTTCCTCCGGCCCTTTCTTGCCAGGGCCTAGCTCAGGACATCCTGTCTGACCTGGTGGAGGATGCATGCCTGGGTCTTTGCTTCGAGGTCCACCGGGCTGTCAAGCAGGGCTATTTTTTCCTGGATGACACGGACCAAGAAAGCATGAGGGACTTTGGTGAGCTCAAAGTTGTTCTATCTCCATATTTATTAAGTTGCCAACAGTTACCTCGGGGTAAAAAAGAAATTAGTGAATTAATTTTCCTTCCATATTTATGATACTAGATAATAAAGAAGGCCAAAGACAAAAGAACAATACATCCAATAAGCCAACAAAAGGTTTCTGTATTTCGACTTCCAAAGCAGAGCCGTTTATTGCTTGCTCTAAATTTCCAGAAATCGTGGACCAGCCGGGATTGGATGTGTTCGGCCAGGTGTACAACCAGTGGAAGAACAAAGAGTGTGTATGTCCCAACTGCAGCCGAAGCATTGCTGCCTCACGCTTTGCCCCGCATCTGGAGAAATGCCTGGGGATGGGACGCAACAGCAGCCGTATAGCCAACCGCAGGTATAAGAGTAAGACACCCAACCTCAGTGAAAACCAATACAAGCACATAACAAGATTGTATACTGTACTGATGTTTACCGTTTCCTTTGTTCTGTAAGCTCAGGACAATTAGTGCATGGAAATGAAGATGTTGTTGAAGTGTAATCACAATTTGTAACTGGAGAAGTTATGCTCTCGTTTAATGTCTTCACATGTATGTGTTTGCAGCGAGTAATGCTGACTCATTGTGTGTGTGTGTGTGTGTGTGTGTGTGTGTGTGTGTGTGTGTGTGT